GCCCGTGCCCGTGCCCGTGCCCGTGCGCGCGTGCGTGCTTGTGCACGTGCGTATGCGCGTGCGCGTGCACGTGCACGTGCGCGTGCGCGTGCGGGTGCGCGTGTGTGTGCGTGTGCGTGTGCGGCTGTGTGGGCGTGTGCGTGGGCGTGTGCGTGGGCGTGTGCGTGGGCGTGTGCGTGCGGGTGTGTTTCGTGCGCACGCATGTGTGCGTGCATGTGTGTGTTTGCTTTTTCCTATCGGAGTTCTTTTTACCGCCGTAAGTGTCAACACTACACCGAACCTCAGGGCCGGCACGCGGCTCGGCTGAGGCCCGCCTTGCCAACGAGCGTCTGCGAGGTCCCAAGTGCTCACTGCGCAGCAATGGAGCGCAACGGGCGTGGCGGAGGCGCGGGTATGGGCGAAATAAGGAGGCCTCAACAAAGCGTTGTCTTTCACGCATAATAATCTCTGCCGGCACTACTCAATTCCATGCCTGTCGCTCCAGTCGACACGATATCTGACGTGCGTCTCGCATCGTCTCGCGATTGTGCAGGCAGTAGGCTTGCGATCGTCGCAACGACTTCGATGCAGCGCCTGTCTGCTGCCGGCACGGCAGGCTGATGTAGAGCTCGTGCAAAGCCACATTCGTAGTGACCCGTACACCAGCGGAGCGCTGCCCTTGAAGATCGGCCTGCGCATTCAAACAAGCAGTTCGCGCCTGGAGCTGGGCATGCCGTGCGCTAAGACGGAGTGCAAGCTCGCCATAGAGCTCACCCCAAATGGTTGCGCGAGAGAGCGCGTAACGACCCGCCGAAATGCCTCCCCCAACGCGCACGGCGTGGGCTTGGATGGCGCCACGACGGTGCGAGCGAGCCGCAGTGTCGGGGCGATCCCAGCATCTGTGCTGTCAGCGCGGACGCTTCGTCCTCGACGGCCCGCAGGGAGGACCTCTTCGAGCTCGGCGGACGGTGCTCAGCGGTTCCGAACTCAGTTCCACGCGCATCGCGCTGTTGTTGCGGCATAGCCCCAGGTCGCGAGGAATCTCCGAGGTTCGTGTGGCCGCCAGAGGATCCAAAGGTGATCATGCAAGGTGGCGAGCATCTCATCGCTAATTGGTGCCAGTGGCAACTTCGCGAATGCTTTCGCCAGCAGCTGGGCCGGTGCCGCATCACTACAGATCAGGTCGAACCAGTTGCAGACCTGCAACTATGCCGGATCATGTCCAGCATGGGACCTTTTGCTGCACACCGGCTGCACCAAGCAAGTGCGACAATTCAGGCAACGTCTAGCCGTCTAGCCTGCGTTCGCTATGTGCAGCCGCCGCATGCTTGACAAGTTGTGTCGGCTCATCCATGGGTCAGAGAAGCCTCAATTTCAAGATCGGAGTCAGAGTTTAAAAGTGTTTCGACAATATAGGAACCTGATTAAGAACCTTGGGCTCTTTTTAGGGCTCTGAATATGTATCCTATTATTCGGCGGGTTTCAGTGCCAAGGTTAGTTAATCAAGCTCCTACGTTAGGAAGCCTAGGAGCATTCTCGAATGCAAAGCGACCTGTATCAGTACCTTTCACGATCTTTGAGTACCTTGGATAGTCTGCTGTGTAACTACACCCGGCACGCAACTCCTGGCAGACGACACCTTCGCCTGTCTAGATCGCCATAAGACTTGTTTTGCATGACGGGCGAACTTCGACGCCAAAGTGACTGAGTGGCACAGGGAAGTCCACAGAACAAACCATTGTTGATTAGAGCGCATAGCAGGCATGCCGTCTGCACTGAAAGACTGCATCCGACTCCCCTCGCACGTGCTGAAGCGGCTGAAGTGAAACATCACAGTGACTTCTTCTCAGCCTTCCATCAAGCAGGGGCAGCACCAGAAAGAAAACAAGAATTGGTGACGACGCACACAGCCTTGGGAACTTCCAGGAGCTTGTCGATACCACGAGCTGCAAGCCTCCCGGTTTCAAAAGCTCAAGCTTCCCCCTTCAGCTGAATAGCGATGCATCTTCTCAACACCTCCGAGGCTGCGGCAGATCCTTGTCCCGTTCAACAATCTCTGGGTGAAAGCTTGCCAGCTCGCAGTAGATGTAGCTTTGGAGGAGCTGCGCAGAAGACGAAAACTGCACTACAAGCCCTACAGATCCTTGCAGTTCAACGCAACAAGGACTCCCTCCAAGTGCGCACCTGCTTGGTTGGCTCGAAATTGTCGAAGGACCAGTCGATCTTCGTGGTGCCTTGTCAGTCTGGAGATACCTAGTGCGCAAACATGTTTATCAGCGGCGCAAGCTCCCTGCAAGTGTCCAGAACCATGTCTTCTTCATCGAACAAATGATCCAGGTACCTGTGACAAGGATCCTAAATCGCAAGGAGACGCATAGTTGGGTTCAATCCACTTCCCGCTTCCGGCAAGCAAGCTCATCTGTGACTCGTTGTTTCTTACTTGTGCCTTTTGCACCGTTTCTATTGAGAAAAGTCACTTGGGAGTTACTTTTCTTAGCTGTGACTCTTCTGCCTGGCGCACTCGTCTGCCTTTGGGTTCACGGGTGGCCCACGGCGTGGACGTTCTCTGCTAGCAGTCTTACGGACGCCATTTCCCTGTGCAGTCCTGGCCATTCCGTTTAAGGTTCACTTGTGTCCCGCTCCTTTTACGGTGGGCCATGCGTGCTGAAGTGCACGATCACTGCTTTTCGGGATCACTGCTGGCCCTTCTTCGCTCCATCTTGCAATACTAGCAGCACTAAAAGCAGTAGCAGTAGCAGTAGTACTAGTAGTAGTAGTCGTCGTCGTAGTAGTAATAGTAGTAGCAGTAGCAGTAGTAGTAGCAGTAGTAGTAGAAGCAGCAGTAGTAGAAGCAGCAGTAGTAGTAGAAGCAGTAGTAGTAGTAGAAGCAGCACTAGCAGCAACAGTAGCAGTAGC